GAACTACCGATGACACCACCACCGTTAAATAAAATAGAAGATGAAGACGAAAACCGCTATCTACGCATTAAAAAAGAAATTCTGGAAGACGACGGAAAACTTAACATATCAAATCAAGAGCCGAAATGTCAAATCAACATCAATAACAATATACTACCAGAAAATCTTACCGCAAAGCGACATGAGGCTGTAACCTCACCTACAAGAGATGGTGCACAAAACATCTCCAGTGATGAACATAATGGAGACTATATACCAGAAGAAGCCGAAGTGCCAATTGATAAGGATAACCCACTCAAATGCACAGCATGTGGCGAGATATTTCAAAACCACTTCCATCTTAAAACTCATTATCAGAATGTACATCTTAAGCTACATCACAAGTGCAATATAGATGGCTGCAATGCCGCATTTCCTTCAAAGAGAAGCAGAGATCGCCACAGTTCAAATTTAAATCTTCATAGGAAACTGCTATCCACTAGTGATAATCATCATTTAGATCCGCTTCCCGAACCAATAAACGCAAACAATAACAAAAATCAAAACTCGCAAAGTGCTCCTAGTGTCTTATCTAACACTATACAAGCCGAATTCCTGGCACGTTTGTACGCCAGTTCACACAGCTTACCACCACTGAATTTTGAATCACTGAAGCAACATTTCCCAAATGTACCACATTCTGGACATGCACATACGTTTCCTGAAACGTTCATTAGTGATCCACGTTTGTTGCTAAATCATCCTGGCAATTCACTTCTTTTTCCAGGTTTAACTGGTCTTCCGGGGTTTCCCCATCTCGCACCACATATACTTGCCTCACCATTTAATGGTTTAAACCCATTCTGTCGACGTTCGTCTACTGATTCACACTCCCCGCGCTCATTAACACCACCTATTACGACAAGATCGCCAAGTAATACTTCATTAGGAGGCCCATCTTTGCAGAAACTATCTCCCATTTATTCTCGACACGCTTCACCAGAAAATGAAATACATACTGGGTCTCCAACGGCATCCATTGAAAAATCAAGCTCACTTCCACATCAATTTGGCAATCCAAATCTCCACCACCAGAGACACACACCTGACCGCATTTCATGACCCTATGAAAGCCACTACGCTGAAGTGATGGCATTTAGGCAATGACCGTAAAAGAGAGGTGGCAACAGCACGAAGACCACGCATGCGTGGATCTTCATGAACTTTCAGCCTCTAAACTGGTACTAAACGTGCAATAATGAAAGCTGAAGGAATAGCGTTGGCCAGAATTCATTGAACATAAACACACACTCGCTCATTAAATTATTTTATGTAAAATTAGTAGAGAATAAAAATAATTATTACGTTGTATTGCTAGTAATTTAAAGAAATTAGTAGTTAAAGTTAATAACATAATAACTCCAGCGATTAAAGGCACTCGTGGCGAAGTACGAAACATGTAAATTAGTGATAACGATCCAGAAACAACAAGTATTAGCAAATCACAAAATACTCAAATTTGTTTATTGATAAATAATTACAATTGTTAAAGAATTCTTAAGTAATCTATTGCGCATATAAACACTTTCGGGTTATTATGTTAAATCAATTAAATTGAACGAATCCTCTTGCGTTACTCAAAGTTCAAAACTTTCCTAAAGAATTTTAGATTTTGTTCCCAAAACAACGATTTTCAAAAAATTATGAAAAATGCGTATAATTGTTAAAGCGTAGGCATATCTGTTTATAATTTAAGAATTTTGACCTCATTCATCATAATTTAATTTATTATAATTTAAATTAAACATTTAGCTTTTCTATGTAAAATATTTACGATATATGAAAATTTTACTAGTGCGTAGCTATTATTAATTTAACGAATCGAAATTTTAAACAAAACTATCTGAAGATTATTATAATAAAATCTAGTTAAATATTTATAAACATAATTTTAAATGTAAGAAAATCATAGAAAATAAAATAATTTATGAAATAATAATTAAAAATCATTGTATATTATTTACTTAATAATAGTTTTTGTTCTACATTCTTGGTGAGCCTATTGAATGCAAGAAATGAAGATATTTTTATGAACTCAAAGGATTTATACAGATTTACATCTATAATTAGTATTTATTGAAATACACATGCACTATATTTAAAGACTGAAAAAATAGAACTTCTTTAGATCTCCAGTGGAAATTACAATAAAGTGCCAGTAACACTCCAAACATCTAAACTAATGGGAATAAAAAGAAACATTGGATGGAAAATGAATACGTAAACATATTCGGTCACCTTGAAACCATAACGAGATAGAATAAGTGCACAGACTCCTAGACTAGCATAAAATCTTTATACATTAACAGCAATAGCAAATAAAGCTGGCGTCTACAAATTTCAAAACCTGTGATGTTCAACAACAAATAGGTTAAATATAGAGACATACTTCTATAACACAATATACCATCGCTATATTGGTATTGTTGTTGTTTTAATCCCAACAACATTGTCTATGAAAAAGATTAGTCCCCTGTTTTTTTTTTCTGTTTTACCGATTAAGCCTCGACTGGATTAGTGAGCGAGATTTGGTCGTTCATGCCGAGTAGCTATAAAACGTGCACCTTCTAACTCTAACCGGTTCAGTTAATTATTTTGGCTTTTTCAATTAATTTATTCCACACATCCTTAAGTAATTTCCCCCCTACATCTAATTACGTGTCGAAAATTATTATTATAAGCGCCAAAAAAATCTCTTTTAAAAATTTTTTGTAAGGATAGCACACCATTCTGATATTTAGTGTTTTCTTACGATCATATGAGTTAGGTTATAAATTTATGCGTGTAATAATAAAAGGAGTTTTAAAATTTTTTGTTACTTTTAATTTTAATGATTATTCTAATCTTTCTAAAGAAACATATGTTACCATTTTCCGGTTTAAAGTAATCATAATCTTCAATTGATCCAATAATATATTTTTGCCGTCCACAGAGGTAATAATGAAAAAGAGCCGGATCCGACTTGTAAAAATAGTATTAAGCCCGTAAAAACAGCCGAAAAAAGTATTCGATTCGAAATCTTATACTGATGACAGTAAGGTATGTGATGATCTTATTTATTTATCTTATCACATCTTAAACTTCATAAAAGATCGTATCGAAAAACAAATGTATAAATTGCGACAGAACTGAAGTTCGAATTGAGCGCTGGACCCAAGTCGAAAATATAATTCTAATAAAAGCTCAGTAATTCCTATAAATTCCCATAACTTCGTAGCATTCAAATAATATATCCAAATGTATGGATAATACCTTGAACATTAAGCTTATTAGAGTAGCTAATGTAGAACGGAGTTATTAAAAGTCAAAACTGGTAAAAACTTATCTGTTATCAACAGATATCGGAATTTCAAATCAGATTGACGAATTTTTTAATTGAAAACGATATTTACGAAAACATTGACTTCGATTATAACTAAAAAAATTGAAAATAGAAATAGAAATAATGAAAATAGAAATAATTTGTTCATAATAATTATCAGTACAGTATACCATATATATCTTCATCTATTTATATTTTTAACAATATATAAAAATCTATAACATATTTTCTTAAGCATTGTTATTTCAAAGAGTTAAGAATACTAAAATCTGATATTCTAGATTCTTTAGTTTTTTTTTTCTTTTGATAATTTTATTTGTATTTTTCACCGTTCTAACCTTGTTTTTCTTTTTTCCACATGGAATTTTATAGGGCACGGGGCATACTAGCTACTCGAGCATGGTGCTAAAGTCGGCACTGCTGATAACCACTGTGCATTACCAGAAGTGACTGGTTTCGAGTTAATAAAACTTACTTTCTGCTTAGCGTATTCTTATAGGCATTTTACTTACTTAAATAATTTCTTAAAAACTCGGTGCAGATGATCATGATGATATTTTTTGATATTATATAAATCAATTCATAGATTCACTCTGGAAGTTAATACAGAAATTGTATCTTTTACGCAGTTATAAATTTATAACATGATTTTAGATGCGGATATCAACTTAAATGTCAAAAATTTCAGATGAAAGATATTAAAAGTAAATCAACAATAGCCACATTCAATTGAAATTGGTTCATAGCATTTGGAACAATATCAAGTTTTTTCTTCAATACGAAATCGAATTGTTTCAGCAATGCAAGACAAATAAAGTTTTGTACTGGCAACGCCTTTCTGCCTCGCGGTGCTATTTTATGGAAAGATAAAAAAATTTGCAAAAAACTACAAATTGACTACTTTGCGTTGCGCCTAATAAGTCCGCGCTACACGGCTAATGATAATATTACAGAGCTGCCACACCTGCGCGATTCAAATGAGATGCGATGTTACCATTATTATGCAATTTATTATGATTGCAATTTTTTTCCTTCGATATGAGTATAATGTCTTGAATTGGTTATTGATGTTCGATTGATTAACAAAATTATTCGAAACTCAAAGGTCACCGCGATATGAAAACAAATAGTTTTTGCTGGAGAAATAAGAAAACAAAGATTGTGAATTTAGCCCCTGAACTATTTTTAAGTCATAAACACGAAGATGTCGAAAATATAAGAAATATATGAATAAATTAAAAAAATTTATGTATATTGGCAATTTCATACTGCAAAACCTTAAATTTGATTTTTGACAAATTTGCTGACAGATATTAAATGTTCACTCAATAAATCAAATAAAAATGTTATTGGAAAATTTTATATCAATTTTAAAAAGTTATTTATCAGCGAACTATATGCAGTAATAGAATAGTGGAGCAACTTTTGATGAGTTTATAAGGATAATGTTAGGATATAAAACATGATACTGCTATTCTTATAGATCGATTCAATGTAATTAATGCAAGAGAGTACATAAGTAAATTGTTAAAATATAAGCCATGAAAACACAAACGTAATGCAGTATAACCGCTGCACTACAGTATCCCAGATACTCCATCCATCAGAATTGGTAATGCCGCAGTTAGCACGTAAAATTATGTACATATCTTTGTAGTATCATCACGGATAAAAGTTGTGCTGACGAAAACGTTTCAGCATTTGGACAGTTAAACAATGTGCGGAAATCAAACCAAATAAGTACCCGTACTAAACTTCAAATATTTAACTCGAATGTCAATTAAACATTTTTCTACGGACGTGAAACGTGGAAAAACTATGCCTCCAAGTATTCATAAAAAAATGATTAAAGGTAATACAAACAATATGGTCGAATATTCAATACCGAACTATGGGAAGGCTCGCAACAAATACAAGCTGCCAGTGAAATCAAAAGAACATAGTGGAAGTGGATTCGCCACACGTTTATGAAACCAGCTTCTTGTATAACAAAGCAAATCCTACGCTAAAACCCACAAGCTAATCGTTCCAGCTGACCTGGAGCTTCAGCTAAGACATGGCAGAGAACCGTGGACCTAGAGCTTGAAGATGCACAGTACTCTTGATATCAAATTACGAAAGAAACAGGGAATAGTGTAAGACTTAGAGAAATCGTGTAGGATCAGTATTCCATCAGGAGATAAGCAGAGTTGTAAGTTTATAGGACAAGTATTTTTAAATGTTCTACGTTTTTAACAAGTAGAGTGTATTATCCTTATTAATGTTCAAATATTAAAAATTGTTAAAGGAAATAAAAAATTATATGAAAATAATTTGAATTTGAAGATTTTTGCACAAAATTTTTTTTTTTATTTTTATTTGAATTTTTGACTGACCATATAGCTCTTTCGAGTATTGCCAAGTGCCCAACTTCAGTGATCTTTTTGGAAATATTTCTTATATTTAAATTTGCGTAAACAACTTTACTGCATGTACCAAATGTTTCCCCTGTAGCCTCACGAATCAATTTTGAAGATTTTCTAAAATATTAATGTGGTGTAAAATGGTGTTTCCATATTACGATTTTAATTAATATTTCACCATTATTTGTAGTAGTCTGTAGACATATTCATATATTTCGTTTTGGCATACATATTTTTTTATTGTTGTCCTTCATTTAGTGGACTTTGACACCAGCGTTTTTGTTTTTATTTTTATTAAACTCACTGTATCTTCAGAAACGCAATATTACTTTTCAGCA